GGGCTGCAGTCAGCAGAGGCACAGGGGCAGGCACAGGGGCGGTTATGGGTGTGGCTGGGGTAGTGCGCTTGCGGCGTCGAGCTGCCACCGGGATCTGTAGACCCAATCGCTCTCGGTGCGGGTGCTGAGCTGGCGGCACACGTCGGACCTCGTAGTTGGAGGCTATGTTGTACACACTGCAGTCCAGGCCGCTGAGTTCTTCCCCCCGCAGCACGTAGTTATGCACGGCGTTGGTCACCGTGTAGCCCTCCTGCTCCTCAGCCTCCACCAGTACTGCCGCTGTGGTCGCCACCTCAGGAGATTGCTCGGCGCCCGCAGATAGCGCTGTGAACGCGTCTACCTGCAGGTATGCGCAATCGAACGTCGCCTCGAAGGTGGAATGACCGTCCAGCTTCATGGCGACAAGCGCCATACCAGCCGTAATGGAAGCGGTCATGCGATGCACAGTGGCACACATGTTGCCAAACGCGGTGGGCCCACTGGCACCCGGATTCGGTGTCCTTCCAGCTAGCAGGAAATCCTGCACTCGGGTAAGAGCGTTGCATGTCAGCTGTGCCTGGCTGTCGTTGATGCTCTTGCCAGTGTACTTCGTGCTGTAGTAGGCAGCGTCGCGGGCGCGGTCAGCAGCAGGCTGCAGCAGCACACAGTCCCCCCGTTCATCTTCAGGGCGGGCCAGTTGCGCTGCTGCCTCTGCCATGTAGACGCGATCCACCTCGCACGCCAGACTAAACAGCTGGTTGCACCCAAATGCCAGCGCTGCAGCTGGCATGTGCGGTACAATGTTCGGGCCCAATCGCGGCAGAAGGAAGAGGCCGCCGGTGCCAATCCACTGGAAGGCGCTGCGCAGGACACGAGGGAATGCCATGCCACAGCTATCATCTGTGCCACGGCAGCCGTGTCGCTTGCAGGTGTCGTTATGTGTATGAGTAAGCGTGCTGCGAATGACGGCCGCATGGTGCGTGCGGCAAGCAGCATGCCGGGGAGGCGGCGGGAGTCCGCCACCTGCACAGCCGGCCAGCCTGCCAAAATCGTACGCTGCAGGCGGGCAGGACTTGTCCACGGGCGGAGGCGCACGGCCATGCTGCTGGACCTCTTCGACGGTCATATCCATGACGTAGTGTTCTGCACCGCAGGTGAAAGGGTCATAGTACGGCGAGGGATACCACATGGCGCACAGGGCGTATGCCANGGCCAGCGCTCGGCAGTTGGGTCCACTGAACAGCGCCTGAAGGCGCTCGACTGCGAATGTGGCCACATGCGCAA